AGTTTTTCTTTGCTGTAAAGAAGCAAATGCAGAACAGTTTATTTTTAGAAAAAGATGGGCGAAGAGACCTTGGATGCGGGTGGGCGTGTCTCAGTATTGACGTAAGATGTCTGTATGAAACATAATAATTATTTATTATTTTCTTCTCAAGCAGATTGCTGAAAAGTTGTGTGTAATTTGTTTTAATAATTCATTTACCTTATTCTGTGATCTACATGTAAGTTGTCTCTTCCCACAATTCCGCAGCAGTGCCATTTGACAGTGACATTGGATCACAAGAGTCGCTCAGTATGAGTCTTGCCTTGGTACCAGGTGGAACGCAGAGAGAATTCGACAGAAGGAAAAAGAAAAAGTAAGCCTTCACGTGTTTATGTTGCCAGTTTTACCTTTGAATAATTCTACTATCAAGTGTTAGATCTAAATATAGGATTTTTTAGGTGATATTTGTAATGTAACTTATTTACTTGAATTAGCCTTTTCACCACCAGACTTTCTCATCCAATTTTGTCTGCACTTTTCTTAATATATTCTTCAATATTTCTGGCAGTGAACCCTAATTTTAGAGCCAACAACCAAAATTTTAGTCAATTTTCAGTTTTTAATTAAAAAAAAATGGCTATTTTTTTCCTAATCTTCTGAAGGAAAGTGCAGACTATAATGGACTATTTTGTGAATTTGTGATGAAAAGAGAGAACTGGTTGTGAAAAGGTTAGCAGGAGATGATAATAAATAAATAAATAAATCAGTGGTTTGGGCAATTCAGTCACTTTTGTTGTTCTGAAGGAATTAAACTTGGCCATTAAAATTTTCGAAAATACTAATATGCAAATTATTCCATTCAGACATGAACTACTTGAAGAAGCAATGAAAGTACACACGCCATTTGCACTTTGGAACGGTCCAACGGTGGTAGCGTGGTTAGAGTTGTGGGTTGGTATGCCAGCATGGTATGTCGCAGCCTGTCGGGCAAACGTAAAAAGTGGTGCAATTATGTCAGCACTATCAGATCAAGAAATCCAACGAGAAATAGGAATTAGTAATCCCCTTCATAGGTTAAAGTTGCGGCTAGCAATACAGGAAATGGTCAGCTTAACAAGTCCATCAGCGCCTCCAACAACAAGAACAGTAAGTGACAGCATACTTTTAAATTTGCATATTTTATATTTGTTGTATGTGACCCACTTAACACATAATGCCATAATTTTTTTCACAAAGATAATTTTGTACCAAATAGACATACTTCAAAGCATTGTTCTTATCTTCCAACGTTCATAAGTGCTCGCTACAGCGTGGTGTCACCCCATACTGTTACTTGATGGCATTTAGACTAAAATGATTCACAACAAAGTTGCTTGTTGTTGTATAAGTATAAGCATTGTACCAGTATAGTCCAAATCTAACTAACTGTTCTAACTGTTTACATTTTGATCAAAACACTGATCAACCTGAGCATCAACACATGTTTTATACCCCGGTAGATATCGATATAAGATTGAATGAAAATCTGTTTTTCTCTTGCAGACTCTAGCGTTTGGTGATATGAATCATGAATGGATAGGAAACGACTGGCTTCCAAGTCTAGGGTTACCGCAATATAGAAGTTATTTTATGGAATGTCTTGTGGATGCAAGAATGTTAGATCACCTCAATAAAAAAGACCTTCGAGGTCAGCTGAAAATGGTGGATAGCTTCCATAGGTAATGTGTTTGGG